TGTATGGAAAGTGAATTTGCTCTGTAAATCTTCACCCAAATCACAATTTAAAAAAAAAAAGGAAAAAAAAAATAGAGGGTGAGCAGAAAAGAGGAAGAAAACCCTTAACAAGCTGGATTGGCATCACGGCTGCAATAATGGTTCAAGCATAGCAACAATTGTGGGCACAGCACAGGGCTGGCAGGGTTTGGTTCTGTTGTACACGGGGTCATTCTTCACCAACACCACAGCTCAAAAGCATCAATTCTTCTTCGGTCTTCCTTATTCATTGTCCAACCAGTGAGTTGGAACCAACTCCATGGCACCTAAAAACAGCAACAAAAAGTCTTTGCAGGGGCAAATCTCCATGTCTCTTCTCCCATGGAGCTTCTGGGTGGGACCACCTTCTCGGTCAGCAGCCAACCACGTAGCCCTGGCACCACCAGAGCTCCCTGACACACATTGGGAGTTTAATACAATGTGTCGAGCAAATGTAATCATCATGTCCTGTTAAAATCAAAAGGATTGGGAGCTGTGACTGACTCCGCTGTGTTCTGGAAGAGCTCGAGGGAGCTGATCTGGGAGCCCAGCATCTCCATCCAGAGGATAACTCAGTGCTGTCTAAACTGTGTTCCTCAGATGTTGGTCAGAATTCTTGGTGACACAAGTGTCCTCTCCTCTCTCCCCTTCTGACTCACTCATCTCTCAAATTTGGCTCAAATGACCCTTCTCTGGAACACCTTCTGACACCCCCTGGATAAGACACCCACCCCGTCACTCCCTACAGCATATGGTTCTAGAAGCATCAGTGGGATTATGTGTTTGATGTCTGTCTCCCCTACTAGCTCCATGGGGCAGTGACTGGGCATGTTTTCTTCATTCCCTCTTCTTAGCCCTTACCCCAGGCCCTATGCCTGATCCAGAGTAGTCGTTCACTGTTGCAGTATGCTGTCGAGTCAAACCCTGACTCATAGCAACCCCTCCTTGGGTTTCCAAGGCAGTATCATTATGGAAGTAGATTGTCCACCCTTCCTTCCGAGGAGTGGTTGGTGGGTTTGAACCGCCAGCCTTCTGGTTAGCAGTCTAGTGCCTTAGGCACTACGCTACCAGAGCTCCTAGTCATTTACTAGATATTTTTAAAATTGGAAAATGACGGCTCTCCTGAGTTCCCAGATACGCGTTAGCATTTCAAAGGCTTTGATAAGTCCTGCAGTAAAGAAACTTGTTTCACCCACAGTACAAACTTATTTGACCACTGAAATGTTTTCCAACACACCTGGTGGGATCATCAGTTTCTAAGGAGCCTGGTTTGGGAAACAATCATAGCTGATCCCTGAATTGTTTGAGTGGCATAAACCGACTCGAAGTTTCATTTGGGAGTCTGAAGGCAATACCTCCTAGTTGAGGGCCAGAAAACTCTGTGAAGACCGTCATCCTCTGCCCATTACCTTGCCTGGGCTTCTTAGAGGTGGGGGGGACAGTAGGCTCCCACTTAGTGGTCCCTTAGATAGAGCCAGAGCCCGTATGCCACCATGGGCTGGGGAAGTGAAGAGGAAAGTCCGTTTTGAGTGGGTCTCTGTTCTAATGGTGGTCCTGAAGGCAATGTTGTATGTGTGACAATGTGCAAGAGAGTGAATTCCATCTTGTGGAAGGGCTCAAATCCCGCAGTTCCCTAGAAAGGGAGAGTGAATTTAAGTTTTCTCCATCGCTTCCTTGTCACGTCCTTAACCCCATGCCTTGGTCTTACCATCTGAAAAACAGGGCTGCTTGAGGAGGGAGTGAAATCACAAGCACTGGGCACTCAGCACAGGGCCCGGCACATTCCGGGGGTCTGGCAAAAGGAATCTGTTGAGTCCCCGGCCCCCCACCCTCCTCTGGTGGGGTGCGGCAAGGCCCCCATTGGGTTGCTGTTTTCTGACATGACCTGACCTCTCTCCACAGACTCTCTTCCAGAGCCCAGAGGAGGGCTGGCAACTGTACACCTCAGCCCAGGCCCCTGACGGGAAATGCATCTGCACCGCGGTCATCCCCGCGCAGAGCACCTGCTCCCGCGATGGCCGCAGTCGCGAGCTGCGGCAGCTGATGGAGAAGGTAAGAGCCTTCCGGGTGCCTGAGGGACCATCTCACAGTTCCCACCTCACCCTCCACCCCATCCAGGTCAGCCCGGGCCAGATGGGGCCACGAGGACTGTTCTCAGCAGGCTGAGAATCCAGCTTCCCTTCCGTGGATATTTCTTTTACTAACTGTTCAGTGTGTCTTTGGAGGAGAAACTGATGAGCACTATGGGCAGGGGTGGGGGGACCCCAGGGACATCATCAGAGTCTCTCGAGTGTGAGCTCCAGATTCTGTGCATGCCCCACCCACCAAAGCTACCTGCTCAAGAAAACATTTTGTGTCCCTTGGGGGTGGTCTCACCCTCAACCGCAAGGGGCTCATGTAGGATCCTTCCCCCTCTCATCATGGTCAGTATAAAATGCTCCCCATTCGATGCATTCCAAGGATGCACCTGTACAGTCTGATGATGGCCCTTGCTGCTGCCCAGCTGAACTGCCCAGTAGTCAGCTCTGCAGTCACTGTTGAAAAGGACCATCAAGCCTCCCACTGTCAGGCTACAGAAGAGGAAGCCAAGGTTCCGCAGAGAAGAGACTTGGTGGCCGCAGAGTCTTCCACACACTCAGACTCCTACCCTGCCCACAACACTGGGACTGCTTCCCCTAGTAGTTTGTCACTGATGGTTGACAGTGGCTATTGATGTCCACGGTGCGTATCAGGCTGTTGGGTTTCTGAGAACTTACGAGTTCATTCAGGAAAGTCAGTGTGTTTCAGTGAGCATCCTCAGAGGTGTCCCTGACTGACTTCACTTACCCAGGTGGAGGTGGGAACTAGGGGGCCCACAGGCCAGGTAAGGAGAAACTAGAATGAGGGAATTTGGGTTCATTCATTCAGCCAGAAAGTATTTGTTGAGCACCTACTTTGAGTCAGTGCCGGGCACTGAGGATTCAGCTGTGTCCTTACCTGAAGGAGGCAGATGACTAAGAACATTCCAGATAATGGTTACAGTATGGAGAAAATAACTGGGTAAAGGGAGAGTGAGTGAACTGCTGCTTCAGACAGGTGGCCAGGGAAAGCCTCTCTGAGGTGGGACATGAAGGATGAAATAGATGCAGCCACGGAAAGATGAGGGTCGAACAGCATTCCAGAGAGACCAGCAAGCACAAAGGCCCTGGGGAGAGAAGCTTAGAGTCTGAAAGGGAAGGTTGACTGGTGGTTGGAGAAGTATGAAGGCAGTGTAGAAGTGTGAGGGGACCCGCAGGCCTTGCTGAGTTGGGCCGGGAGATGATCTGATCCTTTTGAAAAGCTCCCTCTGGCTGCTGTATGGAGTGCTGACTGCAGGGGCTTGAGGGATGGAAGCAGAGAACCAGGAAAGAGGTCGTGATAGTGGTGGCCAGACCAGGTGGGAGCTTAGAGAGGCATGAATGGGTTGGAGATGTCTTCAGAGCCTCCTGGTAAGATCTGGGAAGGAGAAGGTGGCCTGGTCCATTGAGTGTTTGGCCTTGTCTGTAGCATCCCTGGGATGGGGGCGAGGAGGGAATCTCTGCCTCCCTAGCTGTCCCCCATCCTAGGTCCAGAACGTCTCTCAGTCAATGGAAGTCCTTGAGTTGCGGACGTATCGTGACCTCCAGTATGTGCGCAGCATGGAGACTCTTATGCGGAGCCTGGATGCACGGCTCCGGGGAGCTGATGGGTCCCTCTCAGCCAAGAGCTTCCAGGTGGGTTTTTCTGGGTTCAGGTCAGAGGCCAAGGGGATAATTGGGATCATTAGTTCCAAGAGTGGGATCACATCCGGGAATTGCTGAGAGTTGGCTAGCATCTGGAATCCCTAGGTCCAGTGTGGGCCAAATATCAATGGCCAAATATGCATCAAGGATAAGAGGTGAAGTATAGGGTCAAAGGATAGCATTCAGGTTCAGCAGTGGTTCCTTCTTGGTGGGCAGGAGCTAAAGGACAGGATGACAGAGCTATTGCCCCTGAGCTTGGTCCTGGAGCAGTACAAGGCAGACACACGGACCATCGTGCGCCTACGTGAGGAGGTGAGGAATCTCTCCAGCAGCCTTGCAGCCATCCAGGAAGAGATGGGTGCCTACGGGTATGAGGACCTGCAGCAGCGAGTGATGGCTCTGGAGGCCCGGCTCCATGCCTGCGCCCAGAAACTGGGTATGCTTTTACTCTTGATCCTGACCCCTGACCTCCACACTCAATCCCAATACCACCTGTGTGCCCATAAGCTGGGCATTGTTTTGACCTCTAACTTCTAAACTTTGACCCTTGACCTCCCAACCTAAGGCCAAACCTGAACCCAGAAGCTAGAAATGGTCCTAACTCTTAATTTCCAAGCCCTCACCTTTAACCTGGCTCCATACTGGGGACCAGTTATCTGGCTCCTCCCTGACTCTAGCTCTTCCCATTTTGATCACAATTCTTGCCCTGCCTCCCTTGAACTCTCCCCATCCCCACCCTCATTCCCCGTTCCTGCCTCCTAGGCTGTGGGAAGCTGACTGGGGTCAGTAACCCCATCACGATTCGGGCTATGGGGTCTCGCTTTGGCTCCTGGATGACTGACACAATGGCCCCCAGTGCGGACAGCCGGGTGAGTGACTATGCCAATCCCAGGAGTCAGAATGTGGGAGTACTGTGGTATCCCTAAAGCCCTGGGACCTCCCCTTGGCTATCTAGTGATCACCAAGCAACCAATGGACTTCCAGCCCTGTGAATCCCAAGGTCATTGACCTCCAATGACCATAGAGACTAATGGTTACTGAGTACTACTGACCAGCCCCCAATGATCATTCACTTCTAAGAAACTACTCAGGGACCAATGTCTTCCCAAGGACTAGAGACCCCCTCTAGCACCACTCAGTGACATTTGAATTCCCATGATCGCCATAGTCATGAATGCCCATCACCTGTGACCCACAGAAACTATCCATTAACTACCCAGTCGCTGTCCATCAACAGTGACCTTCCTACTGATTGATATTGGTCACTGGGTGGCCACTGAGTATCACAGATTATAGATAATAACTTTCTACCACCCCCATCATGATCATTAGATTCCCAGGGATTATGGGGAAAGTGGTTCCATCAACTGGTTAAAAGCTAGGGTTTAGAATCAGATTTATATTCCCAGTTTCACTATTTCTTAGCTAGGGAACCTTAGGCAGTTTACTGTCTCTGAGGCTCAATTTCCTTATCTTCAAAATGGTCATGAAAACATCAGCATTAAAACATATAAATTGCTTAGCTCAATGACCAGCACTAATAAGGGCACTCACAAATGCTATGATGATGACACACTAGGTACCTCGTGGTTACAGGGGTTAGCCATGGGCAATGAATTCAAATTACCTCTTATCATCCAGTGACTGTCCAGTGACCACTGACTATCTAATACCCAATGACCAGTGAATTTCTGGGCCAAATGAATGCCCAACCAAACAAAAACCTAACGCACTGACATCGAGTCGATTCCAACTCATAGTGACCCACTTTGGGTTTCCAATGTGGTAAATTTTTTATGGAAGTAGATTGCTCAGTCTTCCTTTCACAGAGTGGCTGGTAGGTTTGAACCGCCAGCCTTCTGGTTAGCAGTCAAATCCCTTAGGTACTTTGCCACCAGAGCTCCTAAATGAATCCCCAAGGATGACAATTTCCCATGATCTTTATGGACCAAGTACCAACCACTTAGTGCCTGTTTCAAGGCACTCACTGACCAAATGATCTGAGCCACTGGGACCATGACTGGTCACGAATGGTCACTGGAAATCCCATGACTGAGTAACGACCCCTTAGTGACCATTGATCTCAAATGACCATGGTTGATTCCATTGGTGGTGGTTCGCCAGTGACCGACCAATCAATGGCTGCTCTCACAGGTCTGGTACATGGATGGCTATTACAAAGGCCGACGGGTCCTGGAGTTCCGCACTCTGGGAGACTTCATCAAAGGCCAGAACTTTATCCAGCACCTGCTGCCCCAGCCGTGGGCAGGCACGGGCCACGTGGTGTACAACGGCTCCCTCTTCTACAACAAGTACCAGAGCAACGTGGTGGTCAAGTACCACTTCCGCTCGCGCTCTGTGCTGGTGCAGAGAAGCCTCCCAGGGGCAGGTTATAACAACACCTTCCCCTATTCTTGGGGTGGCTTCTCTGACATGGACTTCATGGTGGATGAGAGTGGGCTCTGGGCCGTGTACACCACCAACCAGAACGCAGGCAACATCGTGGTCAGCCGGCTGGACCCGCACACCCTCGAGGTCATGCGGTCCTGGGACACCGGCTACCCCAAGCGCAGTGCCGGCGAGGCCTTTATGATCTGTGGAGTGCTCTACGTGACTAACTCCCACCTGGCCGGGGCCAAGGTCTACTTCGCCTACTTCACCAACACGTCCAGTTACGAGTACACCGACGTGCCCTTCCACAACCAGTACTCCCACATCTCCATGCTGGATTACAACCCCCGGGAGAGGGCGCTCTACACCTGGAACAATGGCCACCAGGTGCTCTACAACGTCACACTCTTCCACGTCATCAGCACTGCTGGGGACCCCTAGGGGCTGCCATAGCCCAGGCTGCCACACAAGGGCCACTGGGGCCCCGAGGGGGACCTTTCCATTCTGCCTGTATCCCTTAAGAATTACCTGTCTGTTGTATCCCCCCTCACCTTCCCGGAACTACTTTTTCTCGGCCGGCCTTTCCGCCAGCTTCTGTTCTCTGCCTGTGTATTTCTATCAATGCATTTTTTTCATTTTTGCCTCTTCTTCTTTATTGATCTCTCCTTTTGATACTCTGTCTTTCTGCCTTTTTTTAAAAATGTTCCTCTGTCTTTTTCTGCCTCCTTTTTATCCATGACTCTGCCTTTTTTTTTTTTTTTTTAATGTTCCTCTTTTTCTGCCTCTTTTTTATCGATGACTCTCCAGTTCTTTCCCCATCTCTGCTTCTCTTTGGTCTCTCTCCCTCCCTCTCTGCTTCCTACCCTCCCCCTCCTTCAACCCCATTTCAAAGGACTTGAGTGCATGATCTGTTCCTTTTTTTATTTACACTTTTTCTTTCCGGGTTGCCGGAATAAACGGGACCTTTGACATTTGATGCTTTCGTTGCTCTGTGTGCCCAGTAGCGGCAGAGGTGGAAGAGGTCGGGTGGAAGCTAACTCCCAGACGGGCAGCCATCTGCAGTGGGCTGGGCCCCCTTGTTCCTGACTCAGCCTTCGTGAACGGAGGAAGGCCAGCCCAGCACTGGGGGTGGGGGGCTGCGGGGGGAGGACAATCATCCCTCCCTAGGGCGAGCCCTTTGCGAAAATGGGTGAAGAGCCCCAATCCAAAACTAACGATCGAAAACAATTTGTTTAAAAGCAATTTGATCAAAATAACCGAGGAGTTTATCACAACGCGATGAAAATTGGCCTCAAACGAAGACACTCAATCATTGGTTTTCACGTTATCGATCACACTGGTGCATTTCAGAGCGGCCTGGCAACTTTTTAATGGGTTTTTAACAATTTGGCTGCTTTCAAGAATTTGGCTATTACTTCACACACATACCCCCTTTTTCCTCCTCCTTTCGCTTTGTAATTTCCAAATCATTTTAAGGGAGTCACATCTGTTCTAACTACCAACAAAGAGCTAGAGACAGCATAAAAGGGTGTTTAGTGCCTTTTGTGAACCCATTTCTCTGGCAGGGGCCTGGGCAGGAATGGATTCTGACCTGGAGAAAGACAGGCAAAGTATTGGTGGCAGGAAGGGGGTATGAGAGGGAGTCCGGAAGGGACTGAGCACAGACCACATGCTGAGTCCTGGAGATGGGGCTAAAGGGGAGCTGGGAATCAGGAGAAGGTCAAGATGAGGGCTGTGTTAGCCAGATCTCTGCTGAGCTGGCTGAGATGGACTGGCAGGGTGAGGCTGGGGACCGGCAAGGTGTCACGGCACACAGCATTGGGAAGGAGACCACGGAGGTGGGAGAGGCATTTCTAGGGCCAAGTTTTCATCCTGTGACTAAAGCCAGGAAGGCAGGTAGTGAGGAGATGGTGCAGGGTGACCCCAATGCATTCCCCAACACACGACACCCACTGAGTCTGGATCTTGAAAAGAGCCCCGTGGGCAAGTCCCTCCCCCTCTGATGGAGACCAAAAAGCAAGGCGCTCCCCCTGCTCGGAGAGGACTCCCCTCCCTCCTCTCCATCTCTAATTAATGGCCTCCCTGATTAAATCATCTCTGTTCTGTGCTGGGATCTCCGGGAACTCGGACACTGAGGCCATATTGGGAACGAAACCAATGAATAATAAATGTGACTGCCTAATGTGCTCATTTAAAACCAATTTCTACAGAAATCGTCAAGAAAAGCAATTAATTTCCATTTAAATTAACAAGTTTGACATCGAGAAAGAAATCGATTCCTGGATTAGCACGTTGAGAAGCATTTTGCCCCATCCTTGCTTTAAAAAAAACGGGCCTGGGATTCTTAGGATATCCACACCCCCTGTCCCAACTTGGCTGCAGTCACTGGGGAAAGGGCAGTTTATCCGCCTCTCATTCAGGATCCTCCCGAAGGAAGGTCAGGAGCCTGAGGACTGCTGAGTCAAACAATATTTGTCCAAAATACAGAGAGACCTGGAGACCCACATCCTCACATGGAAAACAGGCCTGGGTGTGGGTTTGTCTCACATCTGCACACAAATCCCTCAGACAGACACCCACAGGCGCTTGGCATCCCAACTGCTCATCTCTCTCACGCACACACACAGACTACAGGCATGGTCTCAAGCACTGCTTACACCTTTGTGTTTGTGGCTTTTGTTCCAACCAAGGATGGGCAGGTGAGGGCTCCCACACCCTCTGAGGCCAATGTCATCCCTCCAAGCATGTCTCAGACCAACCACTGCTCCTGGCCTTCCCTTCTCCTGGATGTGTACTTGGCTACAATGGGAAGCCAATACCCAATCCAAGGTTAACTGCTGAGGTGACTCATCAGCCCTGCCCCACTGACCACAAAAGCCTGGATGGATGCACAGGGCCCGGGTACCAGTTGCTGTTAAGTCAGAATCAACTCACAGCGACCTTGTGTGTCAGAGAACTGAGCTGCCTAGGGTTTTCAGTGGCAGATTTTTTGCAAGTAGACCACTAGGCCTGTCTTCCAAGGTGCCTCTGAGTGGGTTCAAACTTCCAACCTTTTGGTTAGCAGAGCGTGTGTTAACCGTTTACATCACCCTGGGCCCCGCAGAGCACATAGCAGACAGATGGCCATCAGCCCTTTGGGAAGGTCTGGTATAGGAGATGCCGGTAAGAGACCAACTGGACAAGGCTACACTGTCCCCATCCTAAAGGCCTGCAATTTACAGCCTCAGTTTCAGGGTGGAAGGGGTGAGTGGGAATGTGGAGCAGGTGAGGGAAACCACAGCCACTTCATAATGAAACACCCGGACACTGAGTGGGCTCTGGGGGCATGTTTATCTAACAGCAACTTTCTCTCTTATTAATATTTTGGCCACTGCACAGATATATACAGGAAGGGGAGCCACAAGGGCAGCCACACTGTGACGGCACCCACAGTGTCACAGGTCACACGCACACAGCTGGACACCACCACATGCACTCACAAGCAGCCGCGGACAGACCTTGTCCCACGGCCACACACGGAACATTTCAGACACTGGGAAGAAGCCCCTGGCTGCTCCTTCCTGAGCCGTGCGTGTTGAGAGTGGGGGCCCAGGCTCGTTTTCTGGTGACCCTCTTCTCCAACCACTCATTTCTGATTGTTCTCAGAGGCCCCGCAGTACCAGGTGCGGGATCGCTTCTCCAGCCCCACAGAACTGTTGGTGCAAACCGTGGGGCTGTTGTCTGCCTCTCGTCTGCACAGAGAAGAAAATGCTGCCTGGAGGTACAGCCAACCCACCAGTTCTCTCCACCCCACCAGAGCCGAGAGGAAATTCATTAAACCTTCTTAATGACAAACGCCCGGCAGGCAGCAGGCAGAGCAACTGCTCCAGAAGCCGGCCAGACGGGATTGGGCAAGGTGATTGTTTACGAGGTGCCGGAAACTCAGCCCTAGGGAGGCCTCCCTTGGGTCTCACCGGGCAGGGCTTTATTTCGCTCAGATCCTCAAGCCCAGTCAGCCTGATATCCTGTCATCTGGGCTGGTCTGCACCAAGCGTGTGTGGAAGCAGTGCAAGCATAACCTGCCTGACTTCACTCCCAGCCCCACATGGAGGGCTGTGGGAGGTGACGGGCTGGTGGGTCACACCCTCAGCCACCTACCCTGGCAGGGGTCCCCAGGAAGTAGGGAGAGCTGAGAGCAAGGTCCAGAACAGAGCACACTGCTCCCCCCAGCACACACTCAGGAATCCCCCTGCTTCCTGACACTGCCCCCAGTGCTCCCAACACAAGGCATCCGAGGTACCCGGAGGCAGCACTCCTCCCCTCCAGTCTGGGCCCCCTGCTGCCATGGTAACAGCATCCATGGAGGCTGCTGGGTCTGCCAGGTGGACCTAAGAACCTGCTGAACAGTGCCTGTGGTACTGGGAACAGGCCCCAGGATGCTGGGCCCGAGTCCCTGTAACTGGAAAGCAGCCTGTGGAGGGGCTTGTGCAGAGGAGCAACCTGGCCTTCCCAGGACCCTGCTGATCAGCTGGCTCCACTCCAACAGCTGAGGGGCAGGGCCTGGGCCCCTGCGTTCCTGAAACGCACCCTAGGGGACAGCCTGCACACCCATGTTTGAGCACCATCGAGACTGAATGGGGTCCCACCTTCCTGGAGGCTGGCAGCAGGGGAGAATTTCTGTTGGGATGTTCCCAGACCCGGGATGGAGCTACTTTCCAGGAGGAAAACTGCAGCTTGGACACTGGTGGATGGGAGATGACACTCCCGACCCCAGAGCCCCTCATGCCTCACCAGGGTGGAAATGAAACACAGCACGACAGAGCAGTGGTTCCAAGGTTTAATATAGGGTGGGGGAGGGTGCTGCACTGCCCTTCAGAGAGAGCCCTACGGCCAGGCCACCCTGAGCCCCCAAGTCAAGCATTTGCTTTTTGCAACTGAACAGAGAAATACAGCATCACTAGGAACAACCCTCCAGGCCCTCCTGCCCCTCCTGGGCCTGGGGGGAGGGGGCAGCCAGGGGCAGCCCAGCTGACTAGGCCTCCTCTCTGGGACAGGTCATTGCCCGTCCCTGAGTTTGAGCCCCCTTCCCCCCTCCCCACAGCCCTTCTGAAGACAATTCCTTAAGATGCAGAGGGAGGGGAGTCTAGCAGGGATCGCCCCAACAGGGGGCGGACAGGGGCCCCCCAGCCCCCGGTCTTGAAGAGCCCCCTCCAAGCCATTGTGGGAACAATAAATACTGTGTGACTGGAGCAGGGAGGGAGAGCTGGGTGGGCCAGCGCCCCGCCCACCTTGCAGACCAGGCCCGGTTGCCACCGGCCTCACTCGGTGCGCAGGATGATGTGGATGCCGGAATCCGTGAACACGGGCCCACTCATCTCCCCTGTCCGCAGCGCAAATGAGGCGTCTTCAAATGGCTTCTGCATCTGGCCTGGGGGGAACCGTGAGGGATGGTGGGTGGGGGCCCAGGCCAGGAGGAGGCCAGGGCAGGGAGGGCAGCAGACGGAGCAGATGGGGCCCCTGCCGGCACCGAGTCTTGGACTCATCCGTCACTCCGTTTATGGCCCTGTCACGATGCCCGGGGCGGCAGAGCCATTAAGGAGGCCCTGGGAAGCCTCAGACAGCATGAGGGATGGCAGGCAGAGCGGCTGATGCCACTACTGCATTTAGAGACTCATTCTGGTGAGGTGATGAACTCGTCTCCCCGGCCCGGTGGGTTCCCAGCCCCTGCCCGATCATCTGTCACGCCTGCCTCCTTGGCGGTGGCCTACAGCCCCCCCGGCCGGCTCCCCCTTGAGGGCCCTGCACCCAATCCGGGGCCCCTGCCTGGATGCGCCGCAGGCCCTGGGGATGAATGGGAGAGGAGGAAGAGGCACCACCTCTACCCCAGCCAGTCAGGCCTATGCCCAAGGTTCTGATCTGGCCCTTCCACCCCTCACCCCAGAGAGCCCCACCTGAGAGGTCAGGGGAGAGGGCTTCTGGGAAACCTGCCCTAGGATTCTCAGGGCCCCAGCTTTTTACCCCCAACATGAGAGGGAAATGATAGGACCCACCTTGATGGGCCTGTAATGGAGACAACTGTGCAGACACCCCCAGGAGGGAAAGACCCCAGGAAGAAGACCCTGTGTCTCTCCCCATTGGCCCTGGTGCAGACCTCAAACCCAGCAGGGTAGCCTCTAACACCTGGAGGAAGGGACTGCTGCCACCTGGTGGACCCACAAGGCCTGTGCCGCCATGGCCACCCCTCCTGGGAGCTCCACTATTCTCCTCCCAACCTCTACCCTCCATGGTGGGCATTGGTGGGCAGAAGGTGGCTGAGGTACCCCAGGGCTGGCGGTGCCCACTCCTTGCACACCTCTGCTGAAGGCACCCAGGTCTCCCCGGGCCTTGGCCGAGCTGCAGTCGCTGAACTGTGAGGCCAGAGACTCAAAGTCTTCCTCTCCTGACTTGATCTTCTGGATGTAGCCTGCAGACACAGGGACAAGGCGTTAGGCTGGGTGGGGTTGGGGTCCCGACAGGATGGAGGGTGCCAGAGGGAAGGGCAGCACTTCAGATATGAGCTGTGCACCTCTGCCCCTGGCCCAATTGTATGTGTGCACACCACTCATACACTCACACCCACTTCTACAGCTCCCGACACACAGCACCCACACACATGTATACACCCACACACTGTCTTCCCAAATACATGCTAACGTATACCCAAAACACCTTCTCCCTGCACATGTGTGCACAAACATATCACACCGGGAATTACATATCTGTGAAGAGCTCTCTCACTATGCATGCCCCTGAATGCACACCCTGCCTGCCATCCATCCACATGGACCACACGACACTGCACTCAACAGCCACACAGCCCTTTATCTCTCTCTCTCTCTCTCTCTCACACACACACATGGGTACACACAAATGTAACATGACCTTCTCCCACTCTCCAGCATACACACCCTAAGAGAGATTCTCCCCAGATGGAGAAGAGGCGAGCAGGACAGGGGAGAAGTGGAAGAGGAGGGCTGCACCCACAGCAGAGGGCTGGGACCCAGGGCCTCTTTTCTAGAGGGGTCTAAGAGAGAGACAAGAGGCCAGGGCTCAAGCCCAGCTTGGTCACAGGACCGGCTGAGCCCTTAGCCTGTGGGCCTCAGCTGCTGAAAGTGGGAGGAGCACCTGGCTGCTCACTGGGGCGGCGTGAGGAGGCTGGGAGGCGGCCCCAGCAATGCTCTGGAAGGACCACGTCACCCTACATGAGGTGGGTTGACCCGGTGGCTGCAACAATGGGCTCAAGCACAGTAATGACTGTGTAGGGCCAGACAGTGTTTCATTCTGTTGTACACAGGATTGCTATGAGTTGGCACCAACTTGACAGCGCCTCACAACAACGTGCCCTGGAGGCAGTGGGCCCGGCTCTTCTCTCAGATCCTTCAGAGGACACGCTGGCAGAGCACTGGACCGCCCCTCTGTCCGGCCCAAACAGGATGCTCCTTGGATGGGGAGGGAGGAGAGGGCTGACGGAGAGGAGGTAAAGGATGACTGTGCGGCACAGGGCTCCCAGCAGAGGGCGTGAGGCAGCACTCCCAGAATCTCCAGGGAGGAGTGTGTGTCTATGTGTTGCAGGAGGGGGCTGTGGCAGCCAGGGGCTCCTGCAGCCAGGGCCTGTCCTTCCTCCTCTAAGTATCCCACCTCCACGCAACCAGCATCCCTGACACACAAAGGAGACTGGTTGTCCCTGCCTATCTCCAACCTGTACCCACAGGCACAGCCACTAAGCCAGGAGCCAGGGTTCTTGCCCCAGTGCTACCGCCACCCAGGGCTGAGGGAGGAGCCTCACAGTGAGCAGTGGGGCCTCTCAGCTTCGCCGACTTGCCTGCTGCTGCCACGGCAGCCCTCAGGGAGTGCTCTTATGCTTGTGCCGGGGCCATACATCCGCCTGGCACATCCGGCTGAGCAATGGGACACGAACCCACGTCGCATTACTTCTCTCCAGGTGGGAGGCTCACCCTGACATGTCAGCCTGTAGGTTTCCTCACGTCACCATAGCACATGCACCTGTTGTTCCTGTCTGACCTGACCACGGCCCTGACACACCTGCCTGATGGACTCCATGCAGTGGAAACACCACTCACACACTGAGTGGGACCCAGCTGAGTGCCACAATGACACACCACTGGCTATTCTCATCTAAATGGTGCTAGGAGATTGGGGTGAGGGGGAACGGGGACATCTGCCTGACACTGGTCTGATCCAAACTTCACTGGGACATGTTGCTCTGATACTCCTGTGACCTAAATGCCACCACGATCCACCCGCCTGGGCTCTCAGATGGAATGGCACAAGTGGGCGAGCTCACCTATCACTCTTGTCCACCTGCCAGCATCCCTTTGTTTCTCTGCCCTTCAGATCAATGAGACCCCACCAAAGTGGGCTTCTTCCCAGGTCCCCTCTACCAGTGATGGACCTCCTGCTGCTCAATCTCCAAATGCCCCTGCGTGAACCTATACAAGGTCCATAAGCACCAGAATAGGGACTTGCAGTGCAGTGAAGTGGTTAATATGGCCCTTCCAGCCATCGTCCTCCATTTTGTAAGGTATTGTGAGTCCTCTATGCCTGCAGGGTGGGATGCATCTTGAGTCCTGCCTTGCTGGAGGGCGTGACTCAAGTCACCACCACACACAGCTTCCTTGAGGTATATATAGCAATGTTTCGGGAAACTTCATTCTCTTCATTCTGCACTTGGTTCGTCATCATCTCACCCCTGGACTCGAAACAGCAGCCATCATCTGACCTGCCGATTTGGTTTGCCAACCCCTGCAAACACGTGTTGGGAGAATTCTCCAGAGCTACCCACAGACTTGCCAGCCTACTAGCCACCTCCTCCACCACCACCACCACCACATGAGCCGTTTCCTTGGGAGTCTGAGTCCTGTGTGGCGTTACAGCGAACTACAGAACCCTAAGACGGGAGGAAGATTATTGAGGCGGGGGAGGAGTTGATGCAAAGATGATGGAGTGGCCAGCAGTTTGGAAAAGTCTGACATTCGGGGCATCTTTAACCTCTGCCTCATAGGGACTGGCCTCGTACTGATCTTTCTAAAAGAAATTATTCAAGCACTGACCATCAGTCGCGTGCCTACCGGTCTCTGTGACATGCCCGTCAGATGTCTGTTGGCACCACAGTACCTGGCAGTGAGACCTTGACAAACATCACTTGCTGTCACCATTCTCCCTTCTGCATGGACTGTGTGTCCTAGTGGCGAAGATGCCTCTACTGCTCAGTCTGGCCTGGCCACCTGAACACAGCACACACAGCGGCCTCTGCCTGCAACACCTCCACAGTCCACCAGGCTGCCGGTGGTCTCCCTGTGCCCGACACACTCATCGGTGACTCCTACCTGAACTGGATGTCACTGGGATCCCTGTCTGTTCCTCCCCTGCCTGGACTTAGGATAGTCCCCTTGGCCTTACCCACACAACCAGGGAGTCCTGACTACCCGGTGCCCCTGGGTGTGCCTGCTCACCTCTGGGATCAGAACTGTCTCCACATATAGAGCACAGTGGGGCCAGGCCCAGCCCTGGACATGCCTGACTGGGCAGTGTCTTCCAGACTCTGGAAGGATGTGGACTGCAGGGTGCCAAGATCAGGCAACTTGCCCAAGAGTCACACACACATACAGAGTGAGTGCCCGTGACATCAGCCTAGAAAGTGACTACTAGCCGAGCATTTGCCCCCCCCACACACATACACACTGTTCTTATCACCCAGCCCCTCCTGTGCCAGTCAGCTCTCAGAAAACATTCTTCTTTGGTGAGAACCTGAAAAGATTGTTTTAAAATTGCTCTGGGCAGGAGTGCATGGGAGGGAAGAACACAGGGAAGAAGCGTCTATGGGGAAGAAGTAGGAGGAGAGATGTTCCATTGTGGGAGATCTCACTCAACGTCAAGAGACACAGTGTATGTGAACTGCTGTATAGAAGATGAATTTGCTCTGTAAACTTTTCCCAAAATCACACACACACACACAAAGCCTCCTCCCGGATTCCCTCTCCTAAAGGCTGCCCTATAAGCCTGAGCACAGCCAAGATGCAAGGGAACACATATTTCTACCCTCCCACATATGGGGGGAGAACTCCTCCCCCACATATCCGTCTCCCCCAGACCTACCTCAAGGCCCCTGCTTAACCTCTCTTCCTGCCTGGGACTGGCCTGTTGGCCTCTAGTGTCACCCAGAGCCTTCCCTGAGACCCCAGGCTGTGAAAGGGCCCTCTTGCAGTGGCCACACCTCCCACTGTGCTGTCTGCGGCGAGTGTATCGCCAGCCTCACACTGGAAGGGCAGGCCGAGCCAGCTTTGTTTAGTATGGCACCAGCACCCAGCACCCAGAGCTATGCACAAAACAACAGGTCACCAATGTTTCAGGGATTAATGAATGAATGAGACAGAAACTGCCCACAGGGAAGGTGGGAGCCAGCCTGGGAGGGACACCAAAGCCAGTCGTCAGGCACAAATGTACTTTCTACTTGACCTTCAAGTCCCAACACTGAGGAGGAGCAGAGAGGGAAAATGCCCCCAGTCCTTTCCTGGGCAAGGCCCCAGCCTCACCAACACTCCTTGCTCAGACAGCACCCATCAAAGCCTCACCTGGTCAGGAACCACACAGACCCAGGGCAGTCTCTCAAGGGTTCCCAGCACGGATAGGGGGCCTTTGCCTGCTTTGGGAAATTTGGAAGCAATGTCTTGCTGGCAGATCACAAACCAGCTGGCCCACAGTGTATCCCCAAGGCTGAGGAGGGCTGAGGGGCTAAGGGGGCAGATGCGGGACTCCAACTCTTGGGCTCAACTTGCACCCATACCACTTCTGTGCTCTGTGACCCTGGCAGGTGACTTTGCTGCTTGGAGCCTCACTCGCCTAGTGTGTAAAATGGGGTGGTAACACCTTCTACCTTGGAGGGCCACCGTGAAGACTGAATGGGTCACTGCCTGGGAACAGTGCCTGGTGCACAGCAGCCCTTCCCAGACACTAGCTGTCTGTGAGCACTCCACGCTGACTTCTGGGATGAGTGAGCAAGCAAAACAGGGTGGTCGCTGACCCTAAGAGGGTTTATGGACAAACTCCCTGCCCTGCCCATCAAATCAACACAGCTGCTTCCAGCCCAAAGCCACAGGGACATCACAGAGAAAGGGGCCCGGTCAGGAAAGAGGTGACAGGATTAGATCTGCTGTCCCAGAAAGCCCCAGACCCAGCAGAAGAGGCCCAGAGAGACCAGAGACCTGGCCTGGAGGCCAGCAGGCCAGAGGGTGCCACTGGCCATGGGGACACCAGGCCAAAGGAGTCCATTGGTCCTCAGACTCTGGACATGCAAAGGTGGGGGCCTGGGGATGGATGGAGGGTGGGGGAAACAGGTAAGGGAGGGCTTCTCCACAGCCTGGCCTCCTTAGACAAGGACACTGGCAATGACACCCAGCCAGTCCTTGGATCCCTGGCAGCCTCTGGCCACAGCCCAGCAGCTGCGGAGGAAGCATGGTCAAGAAAAGGAGTCTCAGCAGAAAATGTGGAGGCGCTGGTCCTCCTCGTTGCAGGCACTCTGTCCCCTCGGGGCTAAGGGGGAGCCATATCTAAAAGCATAACGATGGGCTGCAGGCCCAGGCTGTCAGCTGGGGAGTGCGCTGCCCAAAGCACCATCTTCACATCACCTGGAACAAGCCCAGGACTGGGAGACATCCACTTCCGTGGAAGAGAAAACAAGGCCCAGAGGCCCAAAGCTCACTGACACCCACATGTGCATACCTCGGGAGCAAGTGCACACACAGCCAGGGGTATCTATCTGCACCCTCAAGCCAGCCCCCAGTGGGGCCTGTCTCAGGCAGGAACACAGTGAGGCCAGGAGGGGGAGGTCCTCCGCCCGAGGTCATCAGGGGCTCTACACGCTGAGCCCGCTAGGCCTCCTGCATCCCGGACCACAGCTCTTCCCTTAGGTGAAGGGGACGCAGCCGGGGCTGCTTTGAGCCTCCTCTTGTCCTGACCTCAGCGCCCCCCACCACCCACGCCTGAGAGAGCAGGCATGGGGCAAGGCTCCGCCGCGTAGAGAACAAGCCCCAGCACTGCACCCATCACCCCACTGAGCATTCTGCTCCACGCCGCCCCTGCATCTTCATGGCCATCCTGTCCCCATTCTATAGACAGGGCAGCTAAGGCTCTGAGAGACAAAGACACTTGCTTGAGGTCACAGAGCAGGCACCAGAATCCAGCTGTGACCTGACCTTGTCCATTATCTCCTGAATACATCCCTGGGCACCTAACCCATCACCAAGTCCTCTTGATTCTGCCTCCTGAATCGCTCTAGAATCTGCTCCCCTCCTCACTCCCACAGCCCGCACCCCAGTTTAAGTCACATTGTCTCTAGCTGCAATTACTATGACAGCTTCCCCTGGGTCCCCAGTGCAGGCAGCCGTACCTTCAACTCCTACTAACCCTCCTGAGTTGGCATCTACTCGAGCTCGGGCCCAAGGGCCCAAGTGCTTACTGGACACATCCCCACACAGTCCTCTCTAAAAACCTCCCAGGTTCCCACTGCAGTGTCAGCCCTGGAGTTGGGGAGCCACACTCACCTGCCACTTCCTGGAAGTCCCACAGCCTAACAGCTTTCCTTCTGAGCCATGCTCATCCTGCCCCAGCCTCCCACCATTTCTTACCAGGATCATCCCACGTGTTTATCTCCAGCCAAGGCCCTCTCCTCAGCTGCCTCACCAGCATCTTCCTTAGGCCCCTCAGATCAATGAGCCCCCGCCAAACTGGGCTTCTTCCCGTGTCCTTGCTACCAGTGATGGACTTCCTGCCACTCAATCTCCAGAAGCCTCCGAATAGCTGAACAGGTGTGGGAAGGCGAATGGGACTACACTCACAAATATATACAGGTTTGAGAAAATAAAAAAAAAAAGGACATCAGAGCTGGGAGGACACCTAAAGTCATCTCAAGATTCTGTTTGGGCTTTCTCCACCCGCTTCCTCTTCCCCCTAAGGACAGCCAGATCCATGTCCTCTGACCCAGGCAGTCTAGATCAAGTTCCAACCAGAATTCTCCCTGAAGGCACAGTACCGCAGGACTCCTGTCTTGGTCACACATGGCCACCACTTGTTTCCTGTGACCTCCAGGAAATGACCTGAACTCCTCTCTTCATGTAAGGCCCTCCCCAACCCAGTCAGGATCTGCCCCTGCCCGTCTCATCTCCTAGGAGGCCTTCCCCAGATTCCTGGCTACACCCTAGCCCCAGGCCTTTACTTCAGAGGTTTCCTCCCCCAGGAATTCCTCCTACTCCCTGCTGGTTCAAGAAAGTGTTTTGGGAGCTGATGCCAGGCCAGGCTTTATGCTGGGTAATGACACCCACCAGTGGGGAGACAGATCCCGACCCTGCCCTCACAGACCTCAAGAGTTACACTTTTCATCAATTAGCATAACATACTACACAAAACAATGTTCCACCTCCTACTTTGGCAAGTAGCAACTGAGATCTTAAAAGCTTGCAAGAAGCCATCTATATGCAAGGATAGGTCTCTCCTTATCCAGAGCAAAGAAGAATGAAGAAAACCAAAGATTCATGGAAACAATTAGTCCAAGTGACTGGTACACCATGCAATCCTCAGCCTACACAACTATGAGACCAGAAGAACTAGATGGTGCCTAGCTACCACTGTCGACCACTGGGGGGGTGGGGTGGGGATCTATGTAGGAGATCCTGGATAGAGTAGGAGAACAACGTGGAACAAAACTCAAAATCATTTGGCAAAAAAAAAGGGGGACCAGGTTAGCTGGTCTGGTAGAGCCTGAAGGAACCACTGAGACTATGGCCCCTAGCTGCCCTTCAGGTCTGGAATTGAACCCACACCTGTGGCTTCCAGCCAAACAAAAGACAGGCATATGAGTTGAACATTTACACTAGGTAGATACACTCCTTACAGAGAATAATCATGGGAGAATAGAAGGGCTGTTTATGCACAAGGAGACAGCTCAGGGTGCAGGAGTGCATGGAGAGATGGACACAGGGAAGAGGTAACTATGCGGAGGAAGAGGGAGGGGACCTGTTGCATTGTGGTAAATTGTAGTCAATGTCATGAGACAACGTGTATGAGAACTGCTATATGGAAAGTGAATTTGCTCTGTAAACTTTCACCCAAATCACAATTTAAAAAAAAAAAAAAAAAAGAGTTAAGTTCTTTAATCTACCTTTAAGGTCTTGTCCAAGAACTGGGCTCCTCTCCATAATGCTTATGCCGTATGATGCTAACAGGCACCACACACCATGTGAAATGCATGTGTGTGTGCGTGTACGTGTACACACATGTACATGTGAGAAATATCCTACAGGCCACAGACTGGACCAAATGAAGTCATAGTAAAACAACAGCCAATACTGAATGAGACTGCACTCTTTGGTGGGTTGTTCTAGGAGTAACAACAATAATAATAACAATGACAACAACTGTTAGTAATTATAGAACATACACCAGATGTCAGATACTATTATTCATGCTTATTTGTATTAGGTCAGAGTCCCCACAATTACCCTATGAAGTGGGTCCTATTATCATCATACTAATCTTACAGGGGAGCTCTGGTAGCGTAGTGTCTCAGGCACTTGACTGCTAACCACAAGGCTGGCGGTTGAAACCCAACAATCACTCCTTGGAAGGAAGGCTGGGCAATCTACTTCCGTAGTAATACTGCCTCAGAAATCCAAGGAGGGTCGCTATGAGTCAGATCCAGCTCAACAGCACATAACAACAACAATCTTACAGGAGAAAAATACTGAGGCTCAGAGATGTTAAGCAATTTGCTCAAAGTCACAAAACCAGGCCTCACAGAGCCAGATCAGAATTCAGGCTGTGGGGTGGAGTGGGGCGGGCGGGTGAGACACTGGCTGTATGTGGTAGGAGCAGCCCAGAGGGCCTCTAGGATCTCTGGTGAGAGAGGTTGAGTGGATGATGACATAACACGAGATCTAGCAGCACTGCCGAACGGAACATTTCCAATGGAAGTATTTTATATCCATGCTGATCTTGAGGGTGGCTAGTTAAACTCGGGAACAGAATTTGTAGTATCATTTGATTTTAATTAAATTGAAATAGCACCATGTAGGTAGAGACAGCCACACAGTCCAGGGCCACACAGCTCTAGACCAGGGTTCTACAAACTATGGCCCATGGGCCACCTTCTGCCTGTTTTTGTAAATTAAGTTTTATTGGAATGCAGCACTGCCCCTATGTTTACATACTGTCTATGGCCTCTGCACTGTAACAACAAAGGTGAGTAGTTGTGATAGAGACCATATGGTCTCCAAAAGCAAAACTATTTACCATCTGGCCTTTTAAGAGAAAGTCTGGGGACCCTCTGCTCTAGACTCTGGAAGAAACATAGAATCGAACACGGAAGAGCCTCTTCCTTTTGGTCAGAATTAACTCACAACTCCACTGGCTAATTCTGTGCTCACTACCTTTCCGACCTCCCTTCACATCCACCTCCATTTGTGATCCAGAACACCACTTAATGATACTGTTAACAGCTCCCACGGGCTGAGGACCTACCGCACATCTGAACAAAAAAAAAAACTCACTGCTGTCAGTCGATTCAGACTCATAGCAACCCCTCCTAGGGTTTCTGAGGCGGTATCTCTACAGAAGTAGATTGCCCAACCTTCCTTCCGAGGAGTGGCTGGTGGGTTTGAACCGCAAGCCATCTGGTTAGCAGTCACATGCCTTAGGCACTACGCCTCCAGAGCTCCCACTGCACATCCGCAAATCTAGCCCTGCCTTATCTCAGTGACTTTCAAAACGGGCCTCAGCAACAGGCATGTCCTGATGTCCATTTTACAAAGCAGGAGGCTGAGTCTCAGGGAGGTTAGTCCCCCAAGGTCATGGAGCTTACAGGGCACAGTTACTACTTGAGCCCAGATATGTCAGCCTCTAAGCCTAGGCCCTCCTCTACCTTGGCTCACCCTGCAAATGCTAGATGAAAGAAAAAGGAGAAGAGGCTGTGTGGGTCAGGCTCACATTACGCACAGGAACTTCCGTGTCAGCCACCACCACGCCTGATGGTAGGACAAGCTGGGGCAGAGTGGCCGTTCTGACTTCCACAAGGCTTCTCCAGCCCACCAGGGTGAGGGCTCATTGTGAGACCCTGTCCCCAGCCCTGCTCACCGTTGATCAGCTCCAGGGCCTCTTCCTTGGTTCGGGTGATCTTCTCCTGCCGCCAGGACGAGGGCCGCCGTGACTGGCTGTGTTTGACCAGCAGGTGCGAGCAGCGGACCCTGGTTGGCTCCCCTTGCCCATTTTTGCCACCACTCGTGCTATTACCACTGGGCCGCTCCCATTGGCTGGCATTAGTGATGTGATTGAAGTAGTACACCCGGCCTGGAGGGGAGGAGAAGATGAGAATTCAGTTGGATCTGTGCTCACAGATTCTACCCGGCTGCCCTAACCAGAGGCCAGGATAAGGGCATGCCTTCATTCAGCAATCCTCTGCACCCACCATGTGCCACAGGCCCTGGAGACAATGGGGTCAACTCTGCAGGGCACAATCCCTGCCTTTAGGGAGCGGATATTCTAGGGAGGGCAGACAGGCACAGAAGCAAATGAGATAACCACTCACCGATAACTTCAAGGAGGAAAATAACCCAGGGTGGTGGAATAGAGTAAGGCTAGGAGACAGGGGAGTGATTCAAAGCACGCATTTGGCAGACCACCTAGGTTCAAATCCAGCTTGGCCACTTTATCAATGTATGATCTACCTACCCTGAGTCTGAGTTTTCTCATCTGTAAAATGGAGTCACCAATACCTGCCTGTATGGTTGTTATAAGGACTGAATAAGCTCACAACTATTAAGTGGTTAGGACTGTGCCTGAAACACCTTAAGAATGTGACAAATGAAAAAAAAAGCAAACCAAATGCACTGTCATCAAGCTGATTCTGACTCATAGCGATCCCCACTGGGTTTCCAAGGGTGTAAACGTTTATGGAAGTAGATTGCCCCATCTTCCTTCCCCAGAGAGGCTAGTGGATTTGAACCACTGATCGTCTGCTTAGCAGCCAAATGGCTTACCCACTACATTACCAGAGAACCTTAAAGAATGTGACAGCTCTCTTTAAACCTGTATCCAAGCCTATCTCCTGAGATCACCTTTTTGCCAAATAGCAGATGGCACACAAAATAAAGGATTTTACCCAGAAGATCGGTGCCCTACTTAAAAACCACCAGGATGAGACCAAAAGGCCAACAATTACTCAGAAGTAAAGATGAGAAGATAAGGACGCAGGGAAACTCGAGTCCTGGAAATGGAACAAACAGGACATAAAGAAAATGTCGAAACATTTAAATGCAACAAATGTCACTGAGCAATTTGTGTAGAGATTGTCAGATGGGCACCTAACATGTTGTGTAAACTTTCACCACTCAGTAAAATATTATTTTTTAAAAAAAGTAAAAGATAGGAGATAGGCTTGGATATAGGTTTAAAGAGAGCTGTCACATTCTTCAAGGAGCTCTGGTAATGCAGTGGGTAAGCCATTTGGCTGCTAAGCAGAAGATCAGTGGTTCAAACCCACTAGCCTCTCTGTGGAAAGAAGATGGGGATTTAATGATGAAAAACGAGGCCCTGTCTTCCCCATCTTTGGTAAATGCAAGTAAGTAACACTCTGACTGTTAACTCTGCTCCAGGCACACACTTGAGCCCAGCAGTCAAGGGCTGGGTGTCACCCCTGGGGAAGGGTTGTAAGACTCCAGCTGGGTAGACAGGGCAAGGAGGGCCCGGAGCTGGGTACAGCAGGAGGTTTATGCTGTAGGTGCTGGCAACAGGCCAGGGCAGGCAGGGTAAGCAAGAGCTTGGGCTCCGAGGGCAAATCCAGTTGGACCACTGACACACTCTAACACCAGGGCCATGGGCTCTACTTCCCTGAACCTCCACTTTCTTAGCTGAAAAGTAGGGGTGAAAGAATAAAGACAGCAAACTTCATGGGGTTAACGTGCAGAAGTGATGATGATCCAGGCAAAGTGCTCACCTGAGTGGCAACACAGGAAAGGAAGCACTTAGTAACAGGAATTATTACTGAGGTTACTAGAGGGTCTGAGGCAACGCAAAGACCCCGGACATACCCGGGAAAGCTGGGCTTGCTCTTCAGGAGGCTGCACTGAAGTGGCTATGGGCAGGTGGCCCGGCTCTGGAGCCCAGTCCCCACTCCTGAACTAAATGACCTCAGGCAAGTTCCTTAAGCTTTCTGACCGTTTCCCAACCTGCAAAATCGGGGTGTTCACTACCTTCCACCCACAGTTGTGGTGACTTGGGTAGAACACACTTAAAACGCGTGGCACAGTGCCAGGCCAGAGATAAACGTAGCCTATTACTGGGGAATAACCTTTAAATCCAGCCCAGGGCACAGGGGCCAGCCTCAAGCGGGATAACGGGCGGTCTCGCAAACTCAGCATTAGGTATAAAGGCCAGGAGTTGTGGACACTGGGCAGGGAAACACCCTTGGGCCACACCCTGAGTACGGGGCTGGGATGTCCCCCCAGGGATGCCTCCGGCCCTGCCGGGTGCAGCGACGTCCCCCCCGCGGGACGTCAGCCGCATTAGGCCCGAGAGTATCAGCCAGATGGGCAGGGCCATCGCCCCAGGAGGTGAGCATGCTCATCGGCTCCTCATCCGCCCCGTAGAGCACTGGGCCTCCTTGGGCCCGCCAAGGCTCATGGGGGGAAACCCAGCTTTCCCGCTCCTGAGGCTCGGGGCCCCCATGGGGTGGGCCGGGGCCGTTACTCGGGAACAACGCGCAGAAACCAGGATCCCACGGGGAAAAGAGGGCAGAGCCAGGCCTGAAGGGCGAACTCAAGCCCTGTTTCCATGGGCCTGCGCGGTCTCACCCCAACCCCGATCCCCGTGGCACCTGAGCTGCGGCTCATGCGCTTCTCCCAGCCCGGCGGCAGCTTCTCCTCGTCCGCCATCTTCCCTCCTGCCGCAGCGCCCGCTCCGCCTCCGCCGCACCGCCTATGTCTCCCGCGCCCGCCCTCCACCGCCGCCGATTGGCTCGGGTGACCCCGCATCGGGGCTATGAGGCGACGCTCATTGGGCAACCCAACCGTCGGACTCGCTCCCTGGGTTCCTATTGGGCAGAAGAGAGGGTGGGCGGGTCCTCCACATTTTACTTGGGCCCCACCCCCAATGGGGGGGGGCCTCATCTCAGCCCCGCCCCCTCAGCGCCTAAGTGGTGGGGAAGGGACGCAAGCCCGCCCTTCTCAACGTCCTTAGACAAGCTCCAAAGAAGTCCCAACCCCTCCTTTTCGTCCTCAGCCGCACAGCCCACCCGGGCAGAATAGAGCTTACTGATTGGCTACTGCACTGGCAATTCCCACCTCCCTAAGCTGTCCCCGAAGGGCTGCATTGCCTTGATTTCTAGCCATGCGGAAGTGTCTAGCTGGTGTAGGGCTGACGGCAGCCGACGAGGTACCCAGGAGAGGCAGTGCTGCCTGTGTTGTTGCCACAGCAACGCAGTTGCCGTGGCGAGGAACAGCTAAGACTCCAGAAGCCTAAATTTGGCTCCTCCACCCTCCCTCTTCCCACCTGCTTCCTCCAGCTGTCCAAAACTAATCTGTCTCCTTTTATTCTGTGCAGGGCTAACCCTTCTCTATGCTACTCACCCAAACACCTTCCATCTCCACCGGGGCCTATTGGCATCACATTCTCTCTCAATCTCAATCCTTCCTCATCTTGGGTGATGGTGGGTGCTGGCATTGACATTAACATGGGAACACTTGTGTGGGGGAGGTGTGAGAGGGGGAAGGATTATATGCTCAGTTTGAGTCATTTTAAAATTGAGTCTGTGATGCCCGTGGGACGTTGAGGAGGTGGTTGGAGACTCAGCTCTGGGGAATAGTGGGCTGGAGAGAGATACAGGAGTCAGATACCAAAAGGGGAGAGTTCAATGTCAGTTCGTCTGTAGCATGCACCACTATAAAACCATTTTTTAAATACTGCGCAGTGACATGAACACACAAGGAAACGTGTCCACAACAAATTAGAGGGAGGAGATGGCTGGAGGTTTAGAGCACACGCTAGAGCCAGACTGCTTGGGTTCGAAGCTCCAGTCTGCCACTTGCTATGACTTTGAGCAAATTACCTAGCTTCTGCACTTCAGCTTCCCCCTTTGCAAAATAAGGATAAGAAATAATATACCAGCTACCACAGAAGTCACAGACGTGACTTTTAAATGATGCTCAGTGAAAAAAAGCAAGTCATAGTACAGCATAGCAATTATATGTATGAAAGCAAAATAAATCAATAAAGAATACAAACTAAAAAGAACTGGTATTAGAGCACTTGTTTGGAAAGGTGGCAAAGACATAAAGCATAACAAAGCAAGATGCTGGACAGTAAGTAGAGTGTTAAAATATGCAATGCTGCAAGTGCTCACTTGTCTATGCCAAGAAATTTTGAAAGACAGGTACCTGGGCAACTGACTGGAAGAGAACCATATTCATGCTCATTCCAAAGAAAGGTGATCCAATAGAATGGGGGAAGTTATTGATATCATTAATATCATATACATGTAAATTTTTGCTGAAAATAATTCAAAAAACGATTGCAGCAGTTCATTGACAGGAAACTGCCAGAAATTCTAGCCAGATTCAGAAAAGAATGGGGAACAAGGGATATCATTCCTGATGGCAGATGGATCTTGGCTGAAAGCAGAGAATGTCAGAAGGATATTTACCTGTGTTTTATTGATTATGCAAACACATTTGACTGTGTGGATCATAGCAAATTGTAGACAAAATTACAAAGAATGGGAATTCCAGAACACTTCATTGTACTCTTGTGGAACTGCCAAGAAGTTGTTCAAAGAAAACAAGGACATACTGTATGGTTTAAAATCAGAAAAGGTGTATGTCAGGTTTGTATCCTTTTACCATATTTATTAAATCTGAATACTGAGCAAATGATATGAGAAGCTGGACAATGTTAAGAAGACTGCTGCATTGGGATTGGTGTAAAACTCATTAACAACCTGTGATACGAAGATGTCACAACTCTGCTTGCTGAAAATGAAGACGACTTAAAGCACTTACTGATGGGAAAGACACCTTGGATAAGCAAAGCACTATTGAAGAAGAAGAACAAAGTTGGAGGTCTCACTCCCGGATCTCAAAACCTACTATACAGCCATAGTAGTCAAAACTGCCTGATATTGGTATGATGACAGACACATAGACCAATGGAATAGAATTGAGAACCCAGAAATAGATCCACTGACCTATGGTCATCTGATCTTTGACAAAGGGCTGCAATCCATTAAATAGGGGAAGAGATTGTCTAACAAATAGTGCTGGCAAAACTGGATATCCATTAGCAGAAATATGAAACAAGATCCATAACTCATACCATGCACAAAAACTAACTCCTGATGGATCAAAGACTTAAATGTGAAACCTTAAACTATAAAATTCCTCAAGGAAAAACTAGGGGCAAATTTAGGGGTACTAATTTATGGCATATATAGACTGTCAACCACAACCCCAAATGCACAAACAGCAGAAAATAAACTAGATGAATGGGACCTTCTAAAAATTAAATTTTTATGTGCTTCTAAAGACTTCTCCAAAAGAATCAGGAGAGAACTTACAGATTGGGAAAAAATATTCGGCAATGACGTATCTGGCAAGGGACTTATCTCTAGAATTTATAGAAAACTCGAACACCCCAACAACAAAAAGATAAATAATCCAATGAAAAAATGGGCAGAAGACACAAATAGACACTTCAAAGAGGATATTCAGGTGGGCAACAAACATATGAAGAAATGCTCACGATCATTAGCTATTACAGAGATGCAAATCAAAACAACAATGCCCCAGCCCTAGTAGCAAAATTCAATGAGACGGAAACTAACAAATGCTGGCGAGGATGCAGAGAGATTGGGATTCTCATACACTGCTGTGGAACTGTCAAACGATACAACCACTGTGGAAAGCAGTATGGTGATTCCTTAAAAAGTTGGAATTAGAACTTGGAGGACATTATGCTGAGTGAAGTAAGTCAATCACAGAAGAACAAATACTGTATTAGTCCATTATTATAAAAGTCAAAGAAAGGTTTATCTATGGAAGGAAATTTTCTTTGTTGGTTACCAGCAATGGAAGGGGAGTGGAGGGAACGCTGCTAGATATGTAGAGACAAGTACTGATTTGGGTGAAGAGAAGGGCAATGTACCAAATGTGAGTTGTCAACACGGTGGCACTGAGGAAGAAGAAGACATAAAAAGGTGCATGGGAGGTACAGACAACAAACATGAACTCTTTTGCCCATATAGTACTGCATTGTCAGTGAAGGCAAACATTGATCTATGGTTGGAAAAATGGGTGGATAGGCTGAACTATTAGGTATGTCTATGCTGGGGGGAGTGTGCCCACGACCATGTATAGGGTTGGCAGACAATGCTTCTACAAGTGTATTTGCATGTTCTGTAAGAATGCCAGGTTTATAATAGAGCTGACAAGGGGCAAGGTTGTAGTCACTTCTTGCCCATAGCCAGCTACCCAGAGGGAGCAAGTTGTTGGACCTGTCGGCTCAGGACCAGAGTTGCAAGGGACATCAAGCTTAATTGGCATAACATACTACACAAAAACATTGTTCAACATCCTACCTTGGTGAGTAGAGAGTGGGATCTTAAAAGCTTGCAAGCAGCCATCTAGATGAAACAATGGGTCTCTCCTTGTCCAGAGCAAAGAAGAATGAAGAAAACCAAAGATGCATGGAAACAATTAGTCCAAGCGACTGGTACACCATGCGATCCTCAGCCTATATGACT